ACTACTAAAAGAACACGGACTGTGGTGATCTTTGCAACAGGAGCAAAGGTTTCTTCATAATCAATACCATACTCCTGACTATATCCTTGGGAAACTAAACGTGCTGATTGAGAGAAATATGTGATTTACCAACTCATAAGACGTCTTCTTCATGAACAAGGAGGTATCTTATGCTAATTGAGGCAATCCTTAAAACTACAAACTAGAAACTGAGTATAGGGTTAAGGAGAGCTTGAGAGAATCCTTCGATCTAGAGAGAAAAACTTAAATCACAGGCTGAAAAAAAAGGTTGCAATCCAAAAATGGAAATTATATAGTGATGCCGCCCCAAGAAAAAGATCAGTATTCCTTCGAAAACTTCACCAAATCAGATGTTGTTTGTAAGTGTAATAGATCAGGTCTAGGCGACACCAAATCTGAAGTCCAAAGCTGTTGCAATCCAAAAAAAGGAAACTGTACAATGTTGCCGCCCCAAGAAAAAGATCAGAACTCCTTCGAAAATTTCATCAAATCAAATGTTGTTTGTAGGTGGAATAGATCAGGTCTAGGCGACACTAGATTTGAACTCCAAAACTGTTGCAGTCCAAAAAAGGAAACTGTACAGTGTTGCCGCCCCGAGAAGAAGATCATAACTCCTTTGGAAACTTCACCAAATCAAATGCTATTTGTAGGGAGAATAGATCAGGTCTAAGCGACACCAGATCTGAAGTTTAGCCTCAAACCAATGTCTCCCAAGAGAGATCTAAAGAAATCTCTCCTATTGGTTGCGCAAAGAAGAAAGAACAATAAATGGTTGATCAAGACAACCCTAATACAACAGGCTTACTGCTTCTAGTAAGGTTCAAGAGAGCGAGAGAATAGATCAGAGAGCAACCCACTCTGATACCATGTCAATACTCTTGGCTGAATAAAAAAAAGAACAAGAATAATCTTAGAGGTGTCAAGAATGAATGGCCCCCACCTCAAAGAGTCTCTTATATATTAAAGGATATGTACAATTACAAGAATGCCCATACAGGGCTGAAAGAGAAAAGAAGAAAGGCTAGGAAATAGGCTGATTTGACAATAAACTTGCCATTCTTGCTCCCAACCCAAATTAGTTTATCCTCCCACAATAAATGAGAGAGGTCAATGTCCATAATTTTTTGAGCTACAAATGGGAGGAATATATTCAAGATTTTCCTTCTATTCCAACGCCTATTTTCCTAGTCAATGAGATCTTCAACCATAAGATTCTGGTCCCCTTCGTTCCTGGATCCCATTTGCCTGAACCTTTCAAGTCTAGGAATCCAAGGGTCCTCCCAAACTCTCACCCTGTCCCCTTTGCTGACTTTCCACATAATACCTCTTTCAAGGATATTCTTACCTTTCAAAACACTTCTCTAACCCCATGAGGGTCTACTTCTTAATTTTGCCTGTAGAAAATGGGTATCTAGAAAATATTTTGCCTTTAGCCTTTAGAAGCTTTGCCTAGAGACTACTTGAATCTTCATAAAGTCTCCAAGCTAATTTTTCAAGCAAAGCCAAGTTGAAAGAGTGAGGGTCTTTGAAGCCAAGACCACATTAGATTTATTTTTACAAATTTGGTTCCACTGAGTCCACTTTACTTTCTTTTTTCCTTCCTTATCTCCCCACCAAAATTTCCTCTACGCTTTTGAGATAGAACTGCAAGTCTCTTGTTGAATTACAAAGTTTGACATACAATAGGTTGGAAGGGCTGTAAGGACTGACTTTAGAAGGACATATTTTCTAGCTGAATTGAGAAAAGATCCTCTCCATCTTTTTGCCTTATTTTCCACTCTCTCAGCAAGATAGTCAAACACCTAGCTTTTCTTCTTCCCAATTAAGGGGTAAGCTCCTAAATAAATTGAATATTTTTTCACTTTTTTAATATGGAGACAACAATAAAGCATATTTTTTAATTTAGGGTGCAAATTTGGACTAAAGAAGACTTCAGAGTAGTTCACCCGTTGTCCTGAGGTCCTTTCATTGAGGGAAATGGCTTCCAAAAGAGTACCTACTTCTCTAAAGTCAACTTTTGAGAACAAGCAACTATAATCTACAAAAAAATAAATGGGAGATAGTTAAAGCTTGTCTACAAATTTTAATCCCAGTCAATTCATTTATGACCATTTTTTTTATTTAAGATGGAAGAGAAGATATCTGAGCAAATCAGAACAAATAAGGAGAAAGGGGTTTTGCCTTAAACCCCATTGGGGATAGATTTTCTTTAAAGGAGAGCCATTCACAAGGATTTGTACCCACTAGATCCATTTTTCACCAAAACTTGACCTTTTATGTTGTTTTCCAAGAAAACTCATTCGACCCTGTCATAGGCTTTACTCATATCAAGCTTGATAGCCATGAGGCCTTCCTTAGCCTTAGAGGTTTTCATGTAGTGTATAACTTCATGAGCTATAAGAATGTTATCAAAGATAGCAAGAAAGCAACCCCCAAATTATGCATCACATGAATTGTTTTTTAATTTTGATTCCATGTCCATGTTTACTTGGGGACCTCTCTTTCTCTCTCTCTTGCGTGAATTTGTAAATATATGATACAATACATATCAATTTTTGGAGCCACCATATTCTATAGTTTAGGAATTAGTTGATTTTTTTAAATATTATTTCTTGATGTTACATATCCATTGTTTATATGCAAATTTTTCTCTCTCAAAAAATGCAAATTTTGCATATATTGAGATTATTGATACTTTGAACTTCATAAATAGCAATACAAATTTTCTTTTACTTTTTTAGTCTAAAATTTGATATTTCAAAGATAAATATGTTGAGAGGGAAACCCCTATCCTAGTATATAATGCTTCGGTGACCTTGACATGTAATGATAGTTAGAACCATGTGTTGGAAGTGTTTGATTAATTAACTACGTAACAAAGAACATCCACACTTGCACTGTGAAAACTACTTTTAAAATTTTCAACAAAACTGTTTATTTTAACTTGTATTCTCTTCTTTTAAGTCTTGTCCCACATTGGAAAATTACTAAGTTTAACTTGACCTTTTAAGAAGGAGCTTGTCTACACTCCTTAGAATTGGATAGAGGAGAGTAATGTGTGTGCATAAGCGTGTGCAATGCAATGAGACACTTTAGAGGTGCACTTTTCGCGTGTGGTTCGCGTGAAATGATTACATATTTTGGTGCACCGAACCATAATCATTGATCCAACCGTGATCAAAGGACATTATTTCAATGTTAACAACCACTAACTGTGAATAGTCACAAAGTTTGAAATTGTGATTATACAAAGAGCCTCTTCAAACCAGCACATTTTTTTTTCAAGATGACTCTAGAATCTTTAAAAAGGATGTGAACCAAGCCGAATTATAACACAGTTTTCACTCAATTTTCTCACTGAAAATCACTCTCGTCTCTCTTTACCCAATTTGCTACTGTCTCATAAAAGATTTCGATTAGAGAATCTTCAATTTTGTCGGTTGCAGTTTCTCACCCAAGGCTTTGTTGTATTCTGGAAACAAATTTACCTATAATCCAACAACAAATTCAATAAAATTGAGTAGGGGTAGATAACGTTCTAAAGACAGTATCTTTAGATATGCCTCCGATCGTCTCCAAATTCCGATGACCCCATTTTCCCAACATCATGCTTACACTAAAACTGAAAAAGACAAATCTTGCTTCATCATGGATTTTATGTATGAATGAGACATTCTGAACTTCTTGTTATGGGGGAGTTTGGGTCTACTGACCACAACACGCTATTGGCCATGCTCATCCAGTTGCACGTTCGAGAATATCAATGGTCATAACACAACTGATGTTTCATATACGCAGTTGGGTGAACATGGCAAGCAATGTGCTGTGGTCAGCAGATCCGAACTCGTTATGGGGTGGTTTCCCTGGTGAGAATGTTGTTTATCAATGCTGAAAGACTGCCAACATCACCTTTTTGCTTGATAAAGGAATTGATAGATGGCAATTTCTTTCATTTTTAGAATGTAATGTGTTTATTAATATTGTTTGACTTTGATTTATGGTTAAAGTTATGATTTTATTTGATCCTTTTGGGGCAATGGAATATTAGATTCAAAATATCAAAACAATCAGACCTTGTAGAGAATGGAAATTGATCAGAGCTAAGGTTTACAACTCCAATGCTCACTGTTACAGGTGAGATTGGATTATCATCCAATTCCTCAAAGTCACCACTCACCACCAGCAATTTCCTCAGAGGGATCCAATTTCCTCAAAGGGGTTTATATTCTTGGCGAGTCTCTTAGTATGTTGCAAAGAAATTCTTTGAGTCTTCTGAAACACCAATTGGGAGTATACTTTGAGGGAGGCTAGTTTTGAATTTGATCATCTGTCATCACAGAAACATCAGAAAGAAGGCAAGGAGGTGTGCTTCAGAAGGGCTCTGATTGGTACATGGTTTTCAAAACCAGACCAGACCAGACGGTCGGACCAGAAAAACCAGGAACCAGTCAGGTGACCAGTTCCATTCTTCCCCAAAACCGGGATTTCTCAAAAAACTGTTGATTTTGGTCAACAAACCACTGACCCAGGCGGTTAACCATTCGAACCGTTTGAACTGTTTTGACCATTTTTATTTTTTGTCAGAACAGGCTGACCGTTCAGGTCGAACGGTCAGACCATTCGACCCGGTAACTGGACCGCTGACCTGTTCGGTCTCTGGGTCAGTTTTAAAAACCATGGATTGGATTATAGTAAATGGTCATTCATATATTTTAATCAAAGCAGTGACAGAGATCTGCCTCCTTAAAGGTTTTTTCATTGGGCAGATTCCAGACCTTCCATCCCCTATTAGGTTTATAAATTAAATTTCCCTATTAAGTTGATAAATTAGGAACATGATGATCTCGGTATAACTGTAGCAACAGCAGCAGCAGTAAAGCCTAACATAACTAACCAATAACATTTCTACAAGAAGGAAACTAAGCAACGGTCCTTTTTTACGATAAATTCTGAAGTAAAAACATACTAGTCTAAGGCAATTGAACAAATGAGTAACTGTAAACTAAAATTAAAATGGTAGTTTGTGTAAATGATGTGATGTCAAGGAAACATAAACAACATATTCCCATTCAAACAAGTAAAGATATTCCTCCTTCCCACGATGTGCTTTATTCACAAATATAATGACAGCCGACGGGAGGAAGAAAACTAAGACATAACAGACACCTTCAGAATCATAGAACCAACAACTTGCCAGATGAATGTAGACACGAAGCCCTCCAAAATTCCTACAAACCATCCAATTACAGGAAGGTGCCACAGAAAATCTTTTTCCAGGATGAAATACAAATATTTTGTGCCATGAAATCAAGAAGTTTCAAGAAGGCGATAAACTGTAATTTCTTGCTGTTTGAAATACCGTCTATCCTCCTCATCAACAAGAACAAGATTCAAATAATACTTCACACTGAACTTGTTGTTGATGTTGCGATAAGTTGGCGTGAGTTCATATGGACTCAGAAATAACCTGATTGGAATTGACTCACCTGTAAGAACATACATGAAAGCATGTATCAGTTAGTTCTGTTAAAAAATGCGCAAATAGTTTAAATACACAACTATAGTCTGTAATTCTGTACACCTTTAGAATTCCAATGATACACAACTATAGTTTAAATACAATGTGATGATAAAGAAAGCACAATCTCTGATACTTGAAGCAAATTGGAATCTCAAGACATATCAACAGATATACCTCTAACTGGAGCACCATCCATCAATTCAAATTTTGCGAGGGTCTCTGTCTCAACATATGTATTAGGACCTGATCCTGTTGACTCTCGACGTCTGATCTCAAGCTCCATATTTTTTATTTTGATTCTTACAAGAAGAAAATATATTTTTCCTATGATAATATCCTTCAGATGATACCTGAACATATTTTAATCCAATTAGTAGACAAAATCTTATCTTCCAGAAAAGTGCGATGTTTTATAAAGATTAAGAATGTGAGAAAAATCGAAAAGATGAGTTTTGACTCACTTGCTTTTACTATACTCGAACTCGATGTGTAGGCAGTCTTCAATACCAACTTCCATCTATACAAGCCATGGATATCATCATACAGAATTGAAGAACTTAACAGACATGCTTTCTTCATAAAATAGGTAGAGCAAACCCAGATTTAAGATTAAGTACTCTATCCAATAAAGTTTATTAGTGCTTATTTGCTAGTCCTTCCCAAAAGCACAAGCACATGAAAGGTTCCTCTTGACAGTAAATCTGACTGAAGGTTACAGCAAAGAGAAGAGAAGAGAAGAGAAGAGGAGAGAAGAGAAGAGAAGAAGAAGTGTTGAGGCAATGGAACAGTCCTGGTGGCGCCAGCTTCATTATAATATATAGGGCGAAAAAATAAGAAGGGAAATGACCTTTGTGCCCCTACTAAGTGATTGTACAACAATAGATTAAAATAAAAAATGCTTTAATCAGCCAAACAGACCCTAACAAACATAAAATGAATTATTTTAACACTTTCGACACTCCCCCTCAAGTTGGAGCATAGATGTCAATCATGCCCAACTTGTCACACAAATTATTATGCCGCACATGATGAAGGCCTTTGGTGAAGATGTCTGCAAGTTGTTCTTCTGAGCTGACATATGGGGTGCACACTTCTCCACTTACAAGTTTCTCTCTAATAAAATGCTTGTCCACCTCAATGTGTTTCGTCCTATCATGGAGGACTGGATTAGCTACAATGTTGATAGCAGCTTTATTGTCACAATAGAGTGACATAGGGTTGCTAACTGTAAAACCCAGTTCTCCTAACAGATTTCTTATCCACATGATTTCAGCAACTCCATGAGACATAGCTCTGTATGCTTCAGCACTAGACCTAGCCACCACACTTTGCTTCTTACTTCTCCATGTGACTAGGTTTCCCCCTACAAAGGCACAATATCCACTGGTAGACTTTCGGTCATCAACTGCCCCAGCCCAACCAGCATCAGTATATACCTCCACCTTTAAATGTCCATGTTTCTGGAACAACAAACCAGCTCCAGGAAACTTCTTGAGGTATCTGAGGATCCTCTCTGCAGCTTCAAGGTGAGTTGTCTTAGGATTGTGCATGACCTGACTAAGGACACCCACTGCATAAGCAATATCAGGCCTGGTCATAGACAAATACAAGAGTTTCCCAACAAGTCTCTAAAACTTCTTCACATCTTTCAAGAACTCTCCTTGACTGTCTCCCAGATGATGGTTAGGTTCAATTGGTCTCACCCCTAGTTTGCCTGTATCTTCTAGTAGATCTAGTACATATTTCCGTTGGGAAATAAAGATGCCCTTGTGAGAGCGGGCAACTTCAATTCCAAGGAAATAACGTAAGGGGCCTAGATCTTTCACCTCAAATTGAGTGGCTAAGAACTTTTTTAGTCTCTATATTTCAGCCTCCCAATCTCCTGTGCTCACTATATCATCCACATACATAATTAGAGCAGCAATTTTCCCTTCACCTTTCTTTACAAATAGTGTGTGATCTGACTGACATTGTTTGAACCCCATCTGCTGAACTGCTGAGTGGAACTTACTAAACCAGACCCAAGGAGATTGTTTCTGCCCATATAAAGATTTTTTTAACTTGCACACTTTTTGTTCACTGCCTTTAGCACAAAAACCTGGAGGTTGGGTCATGTACGCTTTTCTAAGTCACCATTCAAAAAAGCATTTTTGATGTCTAATTGGTGAAGTTCCCAGTAAAAATTTTCCGCCAGTGAAAGGAGAATTCTGATAGAGTTCATCTTGGCTACTGGGGCAAAAGTCTCTGCATAGTCCACTCCATATACTTGTGTAAAACCTTTTGCCACCAGT